AAGGTGTCAAATTAATACAGTCAGAAAAAGACAAAAAGAATTTTTTAAAAATGAACAAAGCCTCCAAGAAATTTGAGATTATGTCAAACAGCCAACCCTAATAACTGATTTTCCTGAAGAAGAGAAATCTAAAACTTTGGAAAACCTATTTGAAGCAATCATTGAGGGAAATTTCCCTTGCCTTGCTAGAGATCTATACATCCAAATACAAGAAGCTCAAAGAACACTTGGGAAATTCATTGCAGAAAGATCATCACCTAGGCACATAGTCATCAGGTTTTCTAAAGTCAATACAAAGGAAAAAAGTTTAAGAGATGTGAAACAAAAGCATCAGATAACCTATAAAGAAAAGCCTGTCAGACTAACGGCATACTTCTTAGCAGAAACTTTGCAAGTCAGAAGACACTGGGGTCCCATGATTATCCTCCTGAAGCAAAACAATTGTCAGACAAGAATTTTATATCCAGCAAAACTAAGCTTCATAAATGAAGGAGAAATGAAGTCTTTTTCAAACAAATGCTAAGAGAATTTGCCACTACCAAACCAACACTACGAGAAATTCTATATTGAAATGAAACCCTGAAATACACCAAAATAAAACCTACTTAAAGCATAAATCTCACAGGGCCTATAAAATAATAACACAATGAAAAAGTAAAACAAGGTATTAATGCAGCAACTACCACAATGAATAAAATAGTACCTCACATCTCAATACTAATGTTGAAGGTAAATGAACTAAATGGTCCACTTAAAAGATACAGAATGGCAGAATGAATAAAAATCCACCCACCAAGCATCTGCTGTCTTCAAGAGACTCACCTAATACATAAAGACTCTCATAAATTTAAGGTAAAGAGGTGGAAAAAGATATTCCACACAAATGAAAACCAAAAGTGAGGAGAAGTAGTTACTCTTATATCAGAGAAGACAGACATTAAAGCAACAACAGTTTAAAATTTTTTAAAAACACAAAAAGGGAAATTATTTAATGATAAAAGAAGTAGTTCAACAGGAAAATATCATAAACTTAAATATATATGCACCTATAACTGGAGCTCCCAATTACAGCTAGACTTAAGAAATAAGATAGATGGCAAAACAATAATAATGGGGACTTCAATATTCCACTGACAGCACTAGACAGAAAGTCAACAAAGAAACAGTAAACTTAAACTGTATTCTAGAACAAATGGACTTAACAGATATTTACAGAACATTCTATTTACAGAACAGCTGGAGAATATTCTTTCATCAACACATGGAACATTCTCCAAGATAGACCATATGATAGGTCACAAAACAAGTCTCAAACTTAAGAAAATTAAAATTACATCAAATATCCTCTCAGACCACAATGGAATATAAATAAAAATTAATTCCAAATAGAACTCTAAAAGTTATACAAATACATGGAAATTAAATCATCTCCTCTTCAATGATCTTTGAGTCAACAATGAAATCAAGATAGAAATTTAAAAATTCTTTGAACTGAATAATAATAGTGATATAACTTATCAAAACCTCTGGGACACAGCAAAAGCAGTGCTAAGAGGAAAGTTCATAGCATTAAATGCGTACAACAAAAAGTCCAAAGGGGCACAAATAGACAATCTAAAGTCACACCTCAAAAAACTAGATAAATAAAAATAAACCAAAGCCAAACCCAGCAGAAGAAAAGAAATAACAAAGATCAGAGCAGAAATAAATGAAGCTGAAACTTAAAAAAAAAAAAAAACTGGTTCTTCGAGAAGATAAACAAAATTGATAGACCATTAGTAAGATTAAGAAAAGAGAAGATTCAAATAAACCCAATTAGAAATGAAATGGAAGATATTACAATCAATACACTAGAAATACAGAGATCATTCAAGGCTACTATGAGTACCTTTATACATACAAACTAGGAAACATAGAAAAGATGGCTAAATTTTTTAAGATGTACCACCCTCCCAGATTAAATCAGGAAGAAATAGAAATTCTGAACAGACAAATAACAAGTAGCAAGACTGAAACAGTAATTTTTATAATTGCCAACAAAAATAAAGTCCAGGACCAGATGGTTTCGCAGTTGTACTGAAAACAGAACTGGACAGGGAAATGTTGAAAGCATTGCCCATGGGAACTGGAATAAGGCAAGAATGACCCCTTTCAGCACTTCTATTCAACATAATACTGGAAGTCCTACTCAAAGCAATCAGACAAGAGAAAGAAATGAAAGTCATCAAACTGGTAAAGAGGAAGTTAAACTGTCACTGTTTGTGGAAGATATGATCATGCCTAGGAAACCCTAAAGACTCATCCATAAAGCCCCTAAATCTGATAAATACATTCAGTAATTTCAGAATACAAAATCAATGTACACAAATCAGTAGCATGGCTAGACACCAAGAAGAACGAAGCTGAAAATCAAATCAAAAACTCAGCTCTCTACAACAGCTGCAAAAAAAGTAAAATAAAATTCTTAGGAATAAACAGAACCAAGGAGGTGAAAAGTCTCTACAAGGAAAATTACAAAACACTATAAAATATATCATGGATGACACAAATAAATGGTAATACATCCCATGTTCATGGATGGGGAGAATTAATATTGTGAAAATGACCATACTGCCGAAAGCAATATGTTGCTTTGATAATGCAAAGCATCATGTTGCTTTTGGTAGTATGGTCAAAATCGCTACAGATTCAATGCAATTCCCATCAAAGTACCATCATCATTCTTCACAGAACAAGATAAAAACAAACCTAAATTCATGGAGAATCAAAAAAGAGGCTGCATAGCTAAAGCAAGGATAAGCAAACAGAACAAATCTGGATACATCACGTTACTCAACTTCAAACTATACTAAAGGCTAAAGTTACCAAAACAGCCTGGTACTGGTATAAAAATAGCCACATAGACCAATGAAACAGAATAGAGAACCCAGAAATACAGCCAAACACTTAGGGCCAACTGATCTTCAACAAAGCCAACAAAAACATAAAGTAGGGAAAGAACACCCTATTCAACAAATGGTGCTGGGATAACTGGCAATTCACATGTAGAAGAATAAAATGGGATTCTCATCTCTCACTTTATACAAAAATTATCTCAAATGGATCAAGACTTAATCTAAGGCCTGAAATCATAAAAATTCTAGAAGATAACATTGGGAAAACTCTTCTAGAGGTCGAATAGGCAAAGAGTTCGTGACCAAGAACCCCAAAACAAATGCAACAAAAACAAAAATAAATAAGATATACAGTCAATAAACATATAAAAAAATGTGCAACATCATTATTTTCAGAGAAATGCAAATTAAAACCACAATGAGATACCACCTTACTTCTGCAAAAATGGCCAATATTTAAATATCAAAAAATAATAGATGTTGGCATGGATGTGGTGAAAAGGGAACACTTTTACATTGCTGGTGGGAAGGTACACTAGAACAACCACTATGGAAAACAGTATGGAGATTAACTAAAAGTAGAACCACTATTTGTTCCAGCAGTCCCACTACTGGGTATCTACCCAGAGCAAAAGAAGTTATTACATGAAAAAGGCACTTGCATGTTTATTGCAGTGTAATTCACAATTGCTAAAATGTGGAATCAGCCTAAATGCCCATCAATCAATGAGTGAATAAAGAAAATGTGGTATAGATACATCATGGAATAAAAAGGAACAAAATAACGGCATTCACAGTAACAAATGGAATTGGAGACCATTACTCTAAGTGAAGTAGCTCAGGAATAGAAAACCAAATATTGTATGTTCTCACTTATAAGTAGAAGCTAAGTTATGATGACACAAAGGCATAGGAATGGCATAATGGACTTTGGAGATTTGGGGGGAACTGTGAGAGAGGGTGAGGGATAAAAGACTAACCTTGGATACAGTTCACTCTGCTCAGATGACGGGTGCACCAAAATCTCAGAAATTATCACTGAAGAACTTATCCATGTAACCAAAAACCACCTGCTACCCAAAAACTATTTAAAATGTTTAAAAGAATAAATGACAAAAGACATTTATTAAATTTAACTTCTCTTTCTCTTAGGTACTACTACTTTGTAAACCTATCCAAAAGAGCATGTGTGTGAGAATGTTATACAGTATAACCACTTCAGAAAAAAAATTGGCAGTTCCTCAAAATGTTCAATGTAGATATGACCCAGCAATTCCATTCCTAGGTATCTGTCTACTCAAGATAATTGAAACATATGTCTACCTAAAAACTTAGACACTAGTGTTTATAGCATCATCATTCATAATAGCCTAAAAGCAGAAACAACCTAGTTGCTCATCAAATAATGTGGAATCAGCCTAAATGCCCATCAATCCATGAATGAATAAAGAAAATGTGGTATATATACACCATGGGATAAAAAGGAACAAAATAATGGTATAAACAGATAAACCTCCAAAACAGTATGCTAAGTGAAATAGGCAGACACACACACAAAAAAATATATTGCACGATCCCATTTATCAAAAATGTCCAAAATAGGTAAGTCTATAGAGACAGAAATAATTTAGTAGTTGCCAGGAGCTAGTGGCAGGGGAGGTAGGGTTAAAGAAAGAGAAGTTTGGAACCAATGGATAGAAAGTTTCCTTTGGGGCAATGAAAACGTTCTAAAATTAGATTATGGTGATGGTCATAGTAAAAACTATTAAATTGAACACTTTAAACAACTGAACCTTATCAAATATAAAGTATATATCAGTCAAGCTGTTAAAAATTGCTTTAAAAAGAGAATGTGTGCTTCGTACCTTGACCAAGAGGAACCTAACAGCAACATCAAAGGTGTTTCATCCCTGTCTTTTAGCAACATTTGTACTTTTCATCGGCCCTCTGCTAAAAGCATCATTCACCACCAGCAGAGGGAGCTAAAATGATAATGTTAACCAATCTCTGCTCCCAACCATATATCCTGTGAGGACAGTAACAGACTATTTTCAAGTTTAAAGAAAATTAGAGATAGTTGAATTTTGTCCTTACTTATTTACTTACCAAAAGGATTGCAAAGTTTATATGAATAATTCATCTCTTTAAAACAAGTCCATATGGATCTGCTTATACATCACAGCTTCTTGACTGCACAATATTCTCCACAAGATTATCTAGATATAATGTGATAGAATATGACAATTGATGAAATATTTTTGTTCTCTTTCCCTATCACTTGCTTTTTAGGCAGTCAACAAAATGCGGCAAAACAAAGGGTTAACATCCTCCCATAAAATGTAATCATTGCAATCATGCATCTCCTAGCGTTGCCCCTGTTCCAGGGTCAATCAATTGTGATGTCATTACAGTGGTTAGGATATTACTGCAAAATAAACATTGGCTATTGTTGTTATATCCCAGGTTCATAAAACAGCTTATGAAAGGGCACTTATTTATTCAAGAAAAGTTATTGAATATCTATTATGTTACCAGGCAGTGGTTACAAAAAAAAAAAATGGACATAGAAAGTGCCCTTGTGTGACTTACATTTATATGGGGAAGGGTCTTGATATAGAATAAGCATACAAATAAAATGTAATATCAAATTGTAATAAACACTTTGAAGGAAAGGCACAAAATAATTAGAGAAACAGGGGTAGGGGGCCTAATTTAGATTGGGTGTTCAGGGAAAGTCTTTAAGGAGATAGCACTTACCCCCAAGAATGGAGAAGATAATATTCTAAGCAGGGAAAATAGTATTATGTGAGCCTTGAGGAAGGAAAAGACTAAAACAACTTCAAGAAAGACTCGGGGCTATAATGGAAAATGGCACCGGCTGAGGTTGAAGAGTAGGGAGGGGGCCAACCATGTCAGACCCTACAGGCCATGTTAAGGGATTGGTTTTTTTTTTTGTTTCTTTTGTTTTTTTAACAGAGTTTTGCTCTTGTTACCCAGGCTGGAGTGCAATGGCACGATCTCGGCTTACCACAACCTCCGCCTCCTGCGTTCAGGCAATTCTCCTGCCTCAGCCTCCTGAGTAGCTGGGATTACAGGCACGTGCCACCATGCCCAGCTAATTTTTTGTATTTTTCGTAGAGACAGGGTTTCACCATGTTGACCAGGATGGTCTTGATCTCTTGACCTCGTGATCCACCCACCTCAGCCTCCCAAAGTGCTGGGATTACAGGCTTGAGACACCACACCCGGCCGGGATTGGTATTCTATATTAAATGTAATGGAGAGCCACTGAAGAATCTTTGAACCCATTAGTGGGTTATCATAGTTGCATTTCTAATAGACCATTCTGGCCATAGGGTAGAAGCTTGATCAAAGAGGCTCAACAGTAAATGTGAGAAGGACATGCTAGCATAAGGAAATCAACAACTGTTTTGTTAATTGAATCTGAGATTCAGGAAGGTTGGGAAATTGTAGGATCCATTATAGAAAAATAATGACAGCCTATTTCAGGGCAGGCTCCACAATTCATGGCACAATCTGTGTTCATTCCATTTCCCTGCTAACACCAATCCTAGCTACATCAAAAGAAAAACAATCAGCAACTCTGAAAAGCATAGCCAAGCAACAGTAATGCTGCTTTTCCCTCTCTCAGGTTATATAGAATCAGTCCTAAAAAAGAAAAATAATAATAAACTACTTGCATACTTCCCAGAGAAAACATGTCTAATTTAAAAATGTATACGTGCTTTCCTAAAACTGTGGGCCCCTGTCACTCCAGCTGTTAGAGTTATAATGGTGCATCAAATGAGGGTAATCAATTTTACACAGATGAGTAAAGATATAATATTTCAAGCTGAGCATTGGAATTAACTAAATTTACATGCATGTTGTAGTGGAAAAAGCATGGAATGTAATTTCAGAGGACATGGGGTCAATCCTTACTCAGCCACTTACAAGCTCTGTGACTTCAGGCAATTTACACAACTTCTCTAAACCTCCAGTTCCCTGCATATAAAATGTAGATAATAATAATGTCCGCCACACAGAAAGGTTGTGAACGTGAAGTATGTATGTTAAATGTTCAATGGCTTTTCAATGTAATTATTTTAAGAATGAACTTCCAAAAATGTAATCGATTTCCTCAAAATAAATTTCTATTAAAAAATAGAAATCATTCTAGAAAATGGCATTTTCCTTAATAACATTTAACTTGATTGAACATTTCAACCTAATTGAATAAATTGAAATATTTTAGGTAGTTCTCTGCATCAAAAAAACACCATACAAACAACTATAAAGGAACTGGTTATAACTTTCCAACAGTGTAGAAGTGCTAGATATTGAGAAAATAAAGTGAAATGAAATAAACAGAATGTAAAAAATGCCACCTTAGTTTCTAAAGAATGAGACTATTTATTTCCAAAGGCAATCAATATACCCTGGAAACAAAATAATCGTTCAGTGTAAAAGCATTATGAAAATACTTCCAGTACCTCAGCTCTATCACTTACTCATTATGTGACTTTACACCCTTAAAGTCTATAATTCAATTTCCTCATTAATGAAATGGAGATAACAGAACCTAATTCATAGGTTTTTCATGAACAGTCAAATAAAATTGTACTTGTAAAGCACTTTAACACAGTGCCTGGCAAAAGTAGGTACTCAGTAAGTGTCAGACATCATTGATATTATTATTATTGTCTCTGTATCTGAAAGTATGTTTTAGGTATTTTGCTTAGAGAATATTTAGGGTGTTTATCTCAGATATTTTCAAATAGAATAAGTGGATTAACTCCAAGCAGACTCTGTCTCCATCACTCCATCAAAATTGTTCTTGACCAGGCATAGTGACTCACACCTGTAATCCCAGCACTTTGGGAGGCTGAGATGGGAGGATTGCTTGAGCTTAGGAGTTTGAGACCAGCCTGGGCAACAGGAGACCCTGTCTGTTTAATTTTTTAACAAAAAAATTAAAAATTAACCAAGTGTGGTGGCATGCATCTGTAGAGCCAGCTATGTGGGAGGCTGAGTGGGAGGATCCCTTGAGCCCAGGAGGTTGAGGTTGCAGTTAGCCACGATCATGACGTTAAACTCCAGTCTGGGTGACAGAGCAAAACCTTGTCTCAAAAAAAATTACTCTTGCTAAGAGTTATTAAAGACCTGCACAATGTTAAACCTTACAGATATCCTCCTTCTTCATTTTAAATTAATTGTAAGTATAGTTTACTATTGATCACTCCCTCTCACCTGAGATAGTTTCTTTCCTAGCTTCCAGACACTGCTGTCTCCTAATTTTCCTCTACTCTCATTGGTCACTTCTCCCTAATGTTTGCTGGCAATGATTCTGTACATCAGCCTCTGCAGTTGACCTTTTATGGGCTAGCCTTCAGAGCACTTCAGGTTCAGTACTTTTACCTCTTCCCTATTCTACTTGTACCCACCGCATTAGTGGTCTCAAAAAATATTGTGACTTTTAATACTACCTACATACTGACAATTATCAAATTTTAATATCCAGTCTGGCGTCCTCTGAACACCAGACATATACATTCAACTACACATTGGATGTTTCCATTCAGACATAACATGCTCTCTAAATTAACACATAAAATTCCTGCCTCTTTTTCTTTTCTTCCAAACTTTTTCTTCCTACAGTCTTCCACATCTTAGTTAATGACAGCTTCATCCTTCCTGTTGATCATTCTTGTTGATCAAGAATTCCTTGAATTCTTCCTTGATTATTCCGTCCAACCCATGAACTTCAAATCCAATCCATTAGCTAACTCTGCCCAATCTATGTTCAGGACATATTCCAAATTCAACCCCTAATCCAGCCACTGGTTGTCACTTCCACCATTATCACCCTAGTCCAAGCCATCACCACCCGGACTATGATGGCCTTGCCTCTTCCTTCACCCCTCTTCATAACTCATCTATTCCCCACCCAGCAGAAAAAGACAGTCCTTTAAGTATAAATTAAGCCACATCACTCCTCTGCTCAAACTCTCCAGTGGCTGTCCATTACACTCAAAGTGAAATCCAAGGTCCTTGCAATAGCCAGTCCGAGACCACCCTGAAGTCCTCCTTCCTTCTCAGTGCACTCCAGCCACACTGGCCTCCAACTGCCCATCAAACATAACAGCCTGCTGCAGCTGGCTCGCAGTCTTTGTATTTGCTGTTTCTTCTGTCTGGAGAGCTTCTCCCCATGGATGCCTGCACAGCCCACTCTCTGACTTTCTTTAGGTCTTTTATTTGATATCACCTCTCAGTGAGCCCTCCCCTAACCATTCCACTTAAACAGAAGTTCATCCTCCCTGACCTCATACTTCTTACCTTCCTTCCCATCGCTGCTTTTTTTAAGCTAATTGCAAACTGGCATTCTATATATTTTAGATTTTATAATATGTTGTATTTTGTTAATTTTATTCTACTTATTATCTGCCTCTCTAGAAAGTAAACTTACTCTGGAATGTAAAGGGCAGGGATTTTTATCTGTTTCTGTTTGCTTGCTTTGTTTCCAGAACCAAGAGCATCTTACCATGGCAGGCACTCAATAACTACTTGTTGAATAAGTGGCAATGATGAAGGCAGGCCAAAAATAGATGTTAATTGACCTCGTAAACATTGTTAAAGCCTTAAGGCTTCTGGCACTTAAGTAGGTCAGTTTTAAATTTAAAAAATATTTTAATATGCCTGTGAAACAAAATCTCGTTTAGCACACATAATAATTGGTCCCAAGCCAGGTGCAGTAGCACCCACCTATAGTCCTAACTACTTGGAAGGCTGAGGTGGGAGGATTGCTTGAGCCCAGGAGTTTGACCAGCCTGAGCAATATAGGGAGATCCAGTCTCTAAAATTATTTTTTAATAAAAAAAATAACAGCTCAGATCCCACACCTGCTAAAGGTAAGCCAGGCACAGAGTGGTGGGAGGTGTGTGGGCGAGCAAACACAGGGTCCTGCCACTGCACACGGCCAGTCATACTGGCTGCTGTGGCGGGGCAGCCAGGTGCAGACACCAGCAAAGGTCCTAGCTCTGTGCGAAGCTGTGGCTAGACCAGATGTACTGCATACGTCTGCTGCAGTCACCCATGTCTGGATGAGGGGAACACTGTGACACCCAGAAGCTTCAAGATACCAGGAACCACAGATCCCCAAAGAGGGTGTCACAGCTCTGACTCGGGGAGCCCCTAGCCCAAAAGGCCACAGTTCTTCTCTTTTTCTCATTATCCTTAATGCAGCAAGCAGGGTGTGGGGGTGTGTTTCATCCCTATTGTGTTAAGCTCTTTCAGTCCTGTAATTCATCAGGTCTCGAGTTTTTGTCCGGAGTCCAGGAAGAAATAGGTATGCAGACAACTGGAGGGCAAGCAAGGCAGAGAGGAGCCTCACTGAGCAACAGAACAGCTCTCAGGAGACCCACAGTGGGTAGCTCCTGTCCACAAGCAGGTGATCCTGATGAGTGTCCAGCTCTTGGTGGAGAGAAGACTCACAGTGTGTAGCTACTTTCCATAGGCAATACTTAATAAGTATTTAAGTATTTGAGTCTGGGTTTTTTATGGGCTCAGAAGGAAGTACGTGCTGATTGGTCCATGGGTGGCCATGAGCGGGCCCAGAAGCAGCACCATTAATTCTCCCTCTGGGCAGCAGACTCCACCTGGAACTGGGAACCCAACCTCAGGCTTCAGGCAGTCCCTGGCTTGAAGGTGGAGTTTTATTAGGGACCTGCCCCTTTCTAATGAGAAGCCTGTCTGCCCTCAACAACATGCCATTCACCATGTCCAGGCTGCTCACAAGGGGCACCTGTAGGCTCATGTTGAGCACCTCTCAGTTGCCCTGGCCTCGCTCCATGAGCTCATAGGTACCCAAATCTTCAGAGGGGGTCCAAGGTGGCAGGGGGCTGGTATGTCAGTACCATCCAAGCATGTGCACACCTGGCTGGCTCATGACAGCACCCAGGATCAGCTTCAACTTTGCTAAGAAATCAGAGCAGACACCAGGAGTGGAGAGATGCCAGGGAGTGGGATCAGGCATTCTCAAGCCTATAGGGGCAGGGGGCTTCCCAGGCCCCTGAGAGTGCAGAGATGACCAGGTCCAGAGCCACGGCTGGGAGCCTCAGCTGTGCCCTGGAGCACAGGGCTCCTGCCCCTTTAACTTGGTAAAGGGCAGGCTCTCACATGTTCCCAGCCCCTGTCAGCTCTGTGAAGTACACAGCCTCAGCCATGCTGTCCCCTGCTACAGCTGACATCCCCAAAGTGGCTGCCCTAAATGGGCCACCACTGCTATCAATTTCTTATATGGACAAGTCACCAGTGTAAACCAAAATTAGAAATCCACGTTTGTGTTATTACCAACTGAATGTCCACAGTTCCTTGGCACTGGAATGCTCACTCAAGAGATTTTTTTTTTTTTACCACTCTATAGAAAACACTGATTTTGCTCGGAAAAGGCTTCAACTTAGTAAGTATTTAAGGAAGTTGAGCTAATTAATAGCAACCTGCCTCTATGTTAGAGATGACACACACCTTCTACAACACTCAAAGCAGCCTTGAAATAGAGGTACCAAAACTCCCCGATGGGTCCCACCCCCATTTATCAATATGATTTCTCGATCCATTTTCTTTGCTTGCACAAGAATGAACCTCCACCAACAAGCTGTTGCCACAATTACACCCTCACAAATAAAGGAGAAATGGAGAGAAAAATTCCTAAAGAAAAAAGGCAGATGAAAAGTAAGACTGCATCCCACTAATTGAGAAAGATAATTTCTATTCATGTTCGGAATAATTTTACTTTATCTATCTATGAAAAGAAGAATTGCTAAACAAATAAGTGTAATAAAAACCATTCTGAGGAATGTAGCTCATTTATGCATGCCTCTTTATTTTCTCCTTGTTTCCAAAAAAAAAGATCATTCATGAAACTTAGTACAGTTGGTATATATATGTGTGTGTGTGTGTGTGTGTGTGTGTGTGTGTGTGTGTGTAGAGAGAGAGAGAGAGAGTGTGTGTGCGTGTGTGTGTGTATATATATAGAGAGAGAGTGTGTGTGTGCGTGTGTGTGTGTGTATATATATATATAGAGAGAGAGTGTGTGTGTGTGTGTGTATAGAGAGAGAGAGTGTGTGTGTGCGTGTGTGTGTGTATATATATATAGAGAGTGTGTGTGTGTGCGTGTGTGTGTGTGTGTATATATATATATATATAGAGAGAGAGAGAGAGTGTGTGTGTGTGTGTGTATGTGTGTAATCAAGGCCTACTACTGCCACTAGACCATAAGCTCTAGGAGGTCAGGAACCACTTCTGTTTTCCTAGTCAGTGTATCTTCAGCATGAAACACAGTGCCTAGCCCAGAGCAAGTTCTCTATAAATATTTAGCCAATATTAAATAATTAATGTTAATAAAGGGAATAAATAATAATAATAATGGTAATAAATAAATGTTCCTTATTAGCACTCTCTGTGCCTAGCATTGTTTAAATTTGTAGTACTTGTCAACAGATTCTTAAGAAATTGCATTAAGAGGATAGCCTTGAGGAAGGTGGTTTTAGAATTATCAGTTCATTTATTAAACTACTGAAACAATAATTATAAGTTGTTTGTAACTATTCCCTCAGGCATGTGCTCAATTTGACAATATCTTGTTATATGCCTGCTTCATGCCAACATTGATACCTTTCAATTGATAAAATACCTGTACTATTTGACACCACCTACCTGTCCTGGCCGCAGCCTCCCTGGGCTTCTTTCTAATATCCTTTTCTAACTAATCCTCTTTGGTCCCACAAATTCCTCTTCCTGGTCTGTCCCCTTAATGTTGATATTTCTCAGGTTGGTCTTCTTTTTCTCTTCTGTCAGGAAAGCAGCATAAAATAAGGTTTATCAATATGGGCTTAGATTCAGCCTGCCTGAGGTTAAATTCCAAATTTAAAGCTCTCTAGCTGTGTGATCTTAGGCCTCATTCTCTGCATATATAAAATAGGGTATCTATAAAATGTAGATGTTAATAATACCTAACTCATGGGGTTGTTGTGAGAATTAAATGAGCTAATACTTGTAAAGTGCTTCAAACAGTGCCTGATATATATTTAGTGCTCAGTAAGTGTTGGATATTTACCTATAATCTCTTCCTCTGCTAGTTCATCAATTCTCACACTACATCCATCACCTCTCAATATCAGTGTCAATCATGACCACTTCACTAACCAAAATTCCCAAGTGTAAAGACATCTATCCTTGCCCTCTCTAATGCACCTGAATACCAGCTGAGTCCAAACCACTAAAACCCAATACACCCAAATCTGGACTCTCCTTTCTCAAATCTGTTTATTTTTAGGAACACCACTTTTCTTATAACCAGCCCCTTTGAAAATTTTGTTGTGTTCTTCTAGCTGGCCTAGCCAGCATGTAATAGCATTTGTTGAATCCATGAGTATATGCAAAATCAGTGGTTTCTCAGTCACCTTCTCACTTCAATCAGTCCAAGACCCTGCTGCCAGAGGAATCCTTCTAAGACATAGTTCTAATCAAGTTTCCTATGTATCTGCAAAGCACCTGAACTTGAATGCAATCTTCTCCCAACCTTAAATTTTATAGCATTAGTCCTCAACAGAACTTTTTTAAAAGTCCAAGAGCTAACTACAGTGTATTAGTTACAATTTTCAATGGATTCTGAGCTTTTCTGCCATCATCCTCTTGCTCACACTGTCCCCTGCTCCTAAATGTCTTTCTCTGATGTCAAATTGTTGCCGATCATTTAAGACCCATCTCAGATGCTGTCTGCTCCAGAAAACCTTCCCAGATTCCATCAGTAGGATGTACTTCCCCTTGCCTCCAAATTCCTGTAGCTCTTTGAGCTGTTCCTAATGAATTTCCCATATGCTACACTCTAATATGGTTATCTGCCTAAACTTTGAATCTTCCTTGCCAGATTGAGAAGTCACATAATGTGTAGGATAGAGCCAAATTTACCATATATTGAGGAATGTCTTTCAAGTTCTCTGAGCCTCAATTTCCTCAAGTTCTCTGAGCCTCAACTTCCTTGTCTGTAGTATGGGGAGAATAATTAACACCCATGAAAATATAAAAACTGGTCTTTACAAAGACAGTCAATGGTAAGGAAAAATGTTTTTTCCCATTATAGGTGAAGATTTATCACAATTAGGTAAAAATATGAAAACACTAAAAAGATTGACAGAAAACAGAAGAAAAATGTTAACAGTAATTATCTTCAAGTGGTTGATTGCAGATGATTTTTATTTTGTTCTATACTTGCTTACTTTCCAAGGTTTCTACAACTAGCTTATATTCCTCTTGCAACTGGCTCAACAAACAAACATTTATAGAATACCTTAGGTGACTATGCTATGATTGATGATACAAAAAAGAAGAAAAAGCCAGTTTATAAAAGGTTTTTATAAAAAGAAACATTTTTTAAAATGCTAGTGTGATATATGGCTCTCAGTACCATCCAAAAAAGGAAAAAAGACATTTCTGCCTTCAAAATGCATTAAATTTCAGTCATAATGTGAATGGAAAATGCTTAAGTCCAATAAAGAACCTTAGAAATCATCTGCCAAAAATATTTGCCATCACAAGTTGTTAGGATACTGACACAGCTCCTGAGTTCTGGGTTTTTAGAGCCAAAAATGTTCTACTACTGGGAGAGAAAAACACAAACATAGAGACAATTGCATCAAGTCTGTGATGAAGAATTTATGTCTGGATCAACTCCAAGAATCCATGTCAAGAAATATTTGAAGCTGCAGAGGTACATGTTATAGTCAGTACCCTTCATTATTTTAGAAACTCTTCTCAACTGCAAACTTGCCATGTCCAAAACTAGATAGATTTACTATCTTCGTTTCAAAGCCTGCTCTCCTTCCAGGGCTTAAAAGCATGGCTTGAGTCAAGTAGACACCACAGATTCAATGCTAACTGTGCCATTTGGAAAGTTGTTTGATTTCTCTGAGCCTTACTTTCTCTTTATAAAAAGAAGATGATATAATTATCCTACAGGGTTCTTGAGATAAATAAATGGGGAAAAGTGTATTTAAGGTACTTAGCATAGCACCTAGCACAAATAGGGACACAAAAATGATAATTATTTGGCAGGAAATCGTCACAACCTACCCAACCTCCCAGGCTAAAGGCAACAGAGATGTTACAGCCATTCTGTCCCCTGTATGTACCGCAATCACCAAGTTCTGCCAATTCTGCCCCTGAAATATCTCCAAAATCTAACACCTGGCTTCTCTCATGTCTACTGTTGCATACTGATTATAGCATTTCTCATCTCTTGATCAAATCAGTAATACCTCCTGACTCCTGCTTCTACCACTCATCTCTGACTTCTCCCACAGTTTCCCCATGCTGATACCAGAATTCTATTTTCCCAGAAATAAAATAAGACTATACCACTTTCCTACTTAAAGATGCCCTGGCCCACTGTTGAGCCCAAAAACCAAGTCCAAGCTTAATAACACAGCATCCAGCACCATGTTAACAACCCCTCTGCCTTAGCATATCTTTTCAGCTTCACCTTATGCCAGTCTCTCAAGGCTCACACATGTTCACCCTAAGCTACAGCCATGCTAATCATTATCTAAAAAATATATTTTGTCTCCATCCAACCCCCAGGACTGCGTTACTATTCCTATTCACTTAACAAACTCCTGCTGATCTTTCAGGAACTCACTCTAAACAACACCTTTTTTATGAAACCTTTCTTTGAAGCAGAGCTAGTTTCTCCACCTTTTTACTCTAACAGCATAGTTTCCATCCTGGTTATTGTGCAACATTTTAATTATTTGTTTTCCATGTCTCTTCTCAACTCAGCAGTGAATTGTTTGAAAGTAGGTTCTATATGTATTTACTCCCACATTCCCAGTGCTTGGCATCTATTTGGATGGGCAATCAATGTCCTTGAACAAATGCATTTTGGTTAAGACTAGGAATTGAGGTTTCACTAAACCTGGAAGCTGTGACCTGTTAAAATGTAACTCAGTAAGAATATTTCATTAACAAATATCCCCAACGAGTTGGCCCCAAAACTTTGTAACATACTCTGATTTCATGAAATCATGGTAAATGTTCAAAGTACTCTCATGTCATTAGGAAAGAAGAAAGGAAGCAAGGAAGGAAGGGAGGAAGGAAAAATGATCTATTTGCCTGTTTCTGTCCTCCCATTTCTATAGAATTGAAAAGACTTTCTTAAGGGAAAAAAAAACCCTTATGAAAGGAATGGAAAGTCCCTTATTGCTATCATATATTTAGTGGTACCACATGCAAAGCCCTGTTACACATTAGCTTTCATTCTACTAACAGTTCTGCAAACTTGGTACAGTTACCTCATCTTACAGATGAAGATACTCAAAGATGAAGTTGCTCCAAGTCTCATAGCTTAATGACTGAGTAGAGATTTGAATTCTGGCTTGCGAGAATCCAAAGCCTATATTGTGCTATTATGCCATGCTCCCCTTCTACTAGATGACTGAGCCGATGACCCTTACCCCATCCTACCCATTTCCAGCAATCTTGAGGGGAAGATAAGGAGAAAATCTGGGCAGGAAAAACAGATGAGATATGAGCAAAAACAAATAAAGCTTGGTAAGAAAACAAAAGGGATCCTCTCTTAGAAAATGTATTTAGACTTTTTTTAAATACAGCAATGAGATTTCTTTTGGCAAACTGCCCATCTAAAATCTATGAAAAAAAATCAAGAAACTAATGTTATTTCTTATTAAAGAGCAATGAAAACAAGCAGGGTCATTTTATTAATCCACAAACCTAATAATACTCAACAAAAGGTTTCTGTAAATTTTAATTGCAGTAATCTGGACAATGTTTTACTATGACTCATTGACTTGAGCCACAATGTTTGTGCAATATATTTTACCCTGCTTTATGAGATTGTAATTGCAGTGAAATGCTACTATGTATACGCAATTAAAATATACTGGACTTATCAAAATAAAGCATTTTGGGAAATAGCATACTTTTTACTTATTTACTTTACTTTATAAATCCTGCATGTCCTTGGAATAAAATCCACAAAATTTGTTCTTCTAGGTGAGCTCTATCTCCTCACTTTTACAATTTCTGCTCAACACCTCTCATTTTCTCTATTTTAAAATATGCTTACCTAGTGTTATTTATTCTCTAGTGTTTAAGAGAGTTAAACCTAATATATAGAATGCTTTCTACTAGCCTTTTCACAAATCTTTGTCAAGAGCAGGAATATAGGAAGTTCTGCCCTCTACTCTGCAAAGGGGACTGTGCCCAGTGATGGCTGCTTATCTCCCCTGAGCTGACTACTTCTTTTCTTCCCTCTCTAGATTTTCCTCTCAATGACGCTCTCTACCTTTTCCTCATACAAAGAGTTCTATTTCTCTTTCTGTCTTCTTTTTCTTCAAAAAATTATTCACTGGCTAGATACTCCATGGTTTGCTGATGTGTAGAGATCTATAATTCCTTAGGCAAAAACATCAGGGTGACAGATATTACAGAATTCAGAATTTTGGAGGATTTGAGAAATGGAATACATTAGGAATGATATCCAATAAATTATATAAAATCCTCAGTGGGGTTCGGGGAAATACCCTACAATCAAACACATCCATATTTCTGCAGCAACTTCAATGAATATTTACATGACATGAGAGAAAGACCATAAATAGATTCACATCGGTTCAATTTAAATGATGCCACCAAATACGTTTCTAGAAGAAGCTTTCCCTTTTCAGAACTCCTAGGATTTCAAAACTGCATATGAGGGATTATAGATCTATGCATACTCTAGCTGCAGAATTTGGGGGAAACAACTTTGCAAAAAAGGAACCTGTTAGCACTTCATCATTTTGGAGCACAGCCCAAGCTTTGTCTGTGCCCTGCCACGGAAGTATGAACACATGGACATGATAGACGGTTAAAAATCCTAAAAGTGCAGTTCTAAGAAGACCAGAAAAAGATCCATACATTGGGCATATGGAAGTATCCACGTCTGGATATGAAGGCAATATTTGGCAGAATTAAATAAAGCATACAAATAAGCAGGAAGATCATGTAATTTCAAGTAATTTTGTTATTTTTTTCTCATTAATTTTATTCCTGGTTTGAAAAGAAAACCTACCCCTGGTTTACATGTGAGTCTGATTGGACACATATTCTCAGGAGCAGGCTGCATACCAGTAGGAGCATGTCCATTATCATACATGAAATTAGACAAGGGAATCAAACCGAGTTAAGGAATTGATAACACCATATACCACTGTCCTTTCTTTTTGAACGCTGTGGACATGTGGATATATTTAAAGGTTTCCTTTATGTTGGATAAAATCAAGGACAGATCCGACTGATTTTACGTAATAGGCTATTTCAAAGTACTGAATTAGCTGAACTAATGCTTTCTCACAAAATAAATAATTCTGAAAGAAGATAGATCTTTATTCCTACATCCCCTCTCCTCCCTTCTCAATTAATTAGATTTTGTTGGTGAAAGGAAGTTAAGAAATTCAGCATAAGCCTGATTATATCATGAATGTAAAATGAGCAGGGCAAATAATGGGCTCTATACTCTTTCAAACAAGTTAAATAAGTCCATAATAGCCCACCAGTTGTGTAAACACTATTTCACTATACTTGTAAAAAAAATATTGACTTACCTGTTAACTAAAATTATCCTGGTATGCTTCAACTAAGCTTATTAGTAATTCTTGTGGTGTATGTGAATGTTTTTAGTTGTGGACTTTTATCAAAGATTATAAGAATTAGGAAAACATCCGTTCAGCAAGCTCAGAAAGTAGACGCATAGCAGAATACATTTTACCAGAGTCAATTTTAAGAATTTCCAATATAAGAGTCAAAAGAATAAAGAGTGGTTTCCATCCTGGCCAGAGATAGTCCATTATACTGCAGCTTATTAACACAGAAATACATTCCAAAATTATAAATAAGAATATTTCTCTTAAACAAAATGCTAAATGAATATCACATTAGCCTACTCACCTTACATGTAAAAGTCCTGATGTTTTTTCTCTGATGTCTCACCAGGATGCATTACTGTGAGTAACTGATTGAAAGAAACCAGAAATATACATATTATAGGTGAAAGAAGGTTTAACATATAACTTGGCCCTACTGTTCACTTAATAAACCACAATTCTTTGCTCCAACTGGTTCAACTGCAGTCTACAAAGATCACATTTTTCTTTACAAAAATAAGTGAATTTCTTCCTCAATAAAATAATAATAAACCCGTGTTCTATCCAGTTTAATGCTCTATGTGACTAGAATTCCCAAGGGATTTGGAAAAGGATGCAGGACTTAAAGTCAAAAGTTTCAATTAGAATTTTGACTCCATCACAAACTTTCTGGCCATCATTAGGAAACCCACTTGCATTTTTTATCCTTAAATGTAGGGTAAGAATAGTACTTACCTCTTATGAATACCCAATAAGACATGTGGCTATATAAAGGGCTAAGTCAATGTCGATGGTCGTTATCATGCAATTTAAGAACATGATCTTACAAATTAAATGGCACTCGTCACAAAACAAAGAGACCACTGCTCAATAGCGTTGCTGAAACTTTATTTTCATGTGAAGGAATTTGGTTTGCTGTACTTTTATCTTTATTAGCTAAGATAAAGTAATTAACATGCATTCACTCAGGCCATAAACTCATCATCATCTGGACCATCCCTATTTTCCATCCATATGATGCTCTATGATATAAGATTTACAAGACCTTGAAGATTCATCAGGCCATTCTCAAATATTCATGTTTCCTGTGCCTTGAGTTTTTACTGAATATGCTTGATTGTAAGTGATAACAGATGAATTTTTACTAACCAGTTTCAACAACAAAACAAAACAAAATTAAGTGGTTTATCCAATGGAGAGGTGATGGAGCAGAAGTGGCTTTAGATTTAGTTGTTTAGAAGATGACCTCAGGATTTTGCTTCTCTCCTTTCTAATGTTAATGTTCCATTTCCTGTGGGCTTTCTTCCCAAAGCAGAATGGTAGTCCCCATGAGCTCTAACTTTGCTTGTCCTTAGAGTTCATGAAGTCAGAGAAGACCCACTCATCCCAGGGTCTAGGACAATCCCCCAACCAAATGTCCACAGTCCAAAAGAGCCCTATACTTGTACCCTTTAATCTATGAGCCTATAAAATCAAAAATAAGTTAGTTACTTCTAGGAAACAATGGGAGTACAGGCATTGGGTAAATCTTCTTCTAAAAGGGAGAAATTTCTCAAAACAAAGGGGGTACATGCCCCATGGAAGTCCAAAACCCAGCAGGCCAGTCATTAAATTTTAAAGCTCCAAAATAATTTCCTTTGACTACATGTCTCATATCCAGGCAACACTGATGCAAGGGGTGGGCTCCCAAGGCCTCAGGCAGCACTGCTCCTGTGATAACAGCTTCTGAAGTGACTGCTTTCATGGACTGGTGTTGAGTGTCTGAGGCTTTTCCAGGCACATGATGCAAGCTGTCAATGTATCTACCATTCTGGGGTCTGCAGGATGGTGGCCTTTTTCTCACAGCTCCAGCAGGCAGTGCCCTAGTGGGGTCTCTATTTGAGGGCTGCAACCCCAAATTTCCCCTCTGTACTTCCCTAGTAGAGATCTCTATGAGAGTTCCACCCCTGGAGCAGACATCTGCCTGGACATCCAGGTATTTCCATACATTCTCTGAAATTTAGATGGAAGCTCCCAAGCCTCTACTCTTGTTCTACACCCTCTGGAGCAGCTGCCTCAGACATATCTGGGGCCCTGTTAGTCACAGCTAGAACTGGAATGGCTGGAATGCAGGGAGCAGTGTCCTGAGGTTGTTCAGGGCAGTGGAGCTCAGGGAAGTGGGACATCTGGACCCTGGGCCCAGCCTACAAAATCCTTTCCTGCTAGGCCTGGCTTGAATTCCTCCCTAGAAAATGAGTTTTTCTTTTCTACCACATGTCAGGGCTACAAATTTTCCAAACTTTTACACTGTTTCCCTTTTATATATAAGTTCCAGTTACAGATCATCTCTTTGTTCACAAATATAAGTTTATGCTGTTAGAAGCAGCCAGGTCACATGTTCAATGCTTTCCTGCTTAGAAATTTATTCTGCCAGATACCCTAAGTCATTACGCTCAGGTTCAAAGTTCCACAGATCTCTAGGGCAGGGGCACAATGCCTCCAACCTCTTTGCTAAAGAATAATAAAAGTGACTTTTGCTCCAGTTCCCTGTAAGTTCTTCGCCTCCATCTGAGACCACCTCAGCCTGGACTTCATTGTCCATATCATGTCCATATCATAGCATTTTGGTCACAACAATTTAACAAGTCTGTAGGAAGTTTCAAACTTTCCCTCATCTTCCTGTCTTCTGGGCCTTCCAAACTGTTCCAACTGCTGCCCATTACCAAGTTCCAAAATTGCTTCCACATTTTCAGGTATCTTTAAGCAATGCTCCACTCCTCATACCAATTTTCTGTACTAGTCCATTCTCTGTAAAGTCCATTCTCTATAAAGTCCATTGCTATAAAAAACTACCTGAGAATGGGTAATGTATAAAGAAAAGAGGTTTAATTGGCCCAAGGCTCCACAGGTTGGGAGCCTTCTTGTACAAGAAGCATGGCTGGGGAGGCCTCAGGAAACTTACAATCATGGTGGAAAAGGGGGAGCAGGCACATCTTTACATGAAGAAGAGAAGAGAGAGAGAGAGAGAGTAAAGGTGGAATGCAACACTTTTAAACAACCAGATCTCATGAGAACTCACTACCATGAGAACAGCAAGGGAGAAATTCACCCCCATGATTCAATCACCCCTCCTCCAACACAGGGGATTACAATTCAATATGAGACTTGGGTAGGGACACAGAGCCAAACCATATCACTATTCAAAAGAAAAGAAGTTATTACATGAAGAAGACACATGCAAATGTATGCTTATTGCATCTCAGTTCACAGTTGCAGAGATATGGACCAACTTAAGTACCCACCAACCAGTGAGTGGAGAAAGAAAATGTGGTATACATACACCACGGAATAGTACTCAGTCATGAAAAGGAATAAAATAAAGTCTTTTGTAGCAAATTGAAGGGAGCTGAAGGCCAATATTCTAAGCAAAGTAACTCAGGAATGGAAAACCAGATACCATATTTTCCCACTTATAAGTGGGAGCTAAGCTATGAATATGTAATAACATAGAGAATGTTATAATGGACTTTGGAGACCTAAAAAGGGGAAGGTAGGAGAAGGATATGGAATTTAAAACTATATAATGTGCAATGTACACTACTTGGGTGATGAGTGCACTAAAATCTCAGAATTCACCACTATATAATTCATCCATGTAATCAAAAACCACTTGTACCCCAAATGCTATTGAATTATTTTTAATATTTAAAAACGGAAGAAAGGGCAGGGCACAGTGGCTAGTGCCTGTAATCCCAGGACTTTGGGAGGCCAAGGCGAGCAGATCACCTGAGGTCAGGAGTTCGAGACCAGCCTGACCCACATGGAGAAACCCTGTCTCTACAAAAAATACAAAATTAGCTGGGCATGGTGGTGCATGCCTGTAATTCCAGCTATTCAAGAGGCTGAGGCAGGAGGCGGAGGTTGTGGTGAGCTGAGATTGCACCATTGTACTCCAGCCTGGGCAACAAGAGGGAAACTCCGTCTCAAAACAAAAGCAAAAACAACAAAAGGAAGAAAGACACATAGTAGGTGTTCTTTAAATGTGGAAAGATTGGCTAAGGGAAGCAAGAATAATGTGAGAACAAGCACAGGGTAGCAGTGAATGTGGTGTACATAGGGAAAAGGGAGGGAACAGAGTGTACCGAGAAGCGGGCTCTCTGTTCTGATTGTGTGGAAACCAGCATTAACACAATTTTCAGTGGCACTAGCACTGCCAAGTTGTTTGTTTTTTCACCCAAGAAAGGAAGATGTTCAGACTACAGATTGTGTTCAAGAAATTGTACATTTTTGGTTGAACAAATAGTGACGTTTGGACATAAATGAAGGAAGGCACATATACTGTACAGACACACAAATCTTCCCAACTCCAAAATTGAACGTTTATATGGGAAATTTGGTTGGGCAGTCTGAATGGAGGAAAATTAAGAAGGACTTTGAAAATCAAAAGGGTTTCTTACCTTCACAATGCTATAAGGCATTGTGCCCCAGAGTGAAAACTGCATTTTTGTGAGTTGGTGTGGCAGGCTTGGATACCACCTCTTTCAGCAGCTCACTCAGGACTGGTGAGGGCTATTTGTACCTCACTGAGGGCTTCTCTACAAGAAAGCCCTGAACCCTTTCCTCCTTTCTTCTGCAGATTCACTATAGGACACTTTTTTTAAGTAAGAACATGCATTTCCCCCCTGGCGCTCCGCAGCAGTCCTCGGAGCCCAGTGTCACTCACCTGGGTATGACTGCTCTTACTTCAGAGAACCCTGGGACACTTAAGATGAAAAGCCCCCAGAAGTTAGCAAACAGCCATCTATCTGTCTGGCATCGCTATACTAAAAGTGACTTCTAGGGTATTCTAAACCGCTTTTAAAAAACAATTAGTCACTTCGACTTCCTCAGCCTGCAAGAGTTAGGACGGCAGTAGTGGAGTGCTCCCTCGGGAGCTGTATTTATTTAGCGATTAGCCTAGCACTTTGATTTTAGGGCAAAAGCGAGCCAGTGTGGCTGACGTAAGGATCAAAAAGGCCACCTATCATTCACGGAGGACACCTGACTCCTCAGCCTGGTAATGTAACTATTTCTCTGCATCGAATTTTAATTTTTGTGTTTTGTTTTGTTTCATCACTCCGTGTAACTCATTCATTATTTGAAGCCGGCTCTGAGGAAGCGCGCTGCATCCTCCTGTCCTTGTGTGGTTGCTTAGGTCTCTCCGAAGTAGGTCTCTCTCAACTCTCAGTTCTGCGTCTCGCCGGGACGCATGAAGCGGTAAGGGTGCGGGTCCCCTACCCTGGGGCACGAAGCTGAGCGCTGGAATCGGCCCCGCAGAGGCTCAGTGGGAGCTCCGAGAACTCGCCTGCACCTCGCGCCGCCTACCGCCTCCCAGCCCGGGACTTGGGAAAGGAGGGAGGGGACTAGTGGAGGGAAAGTGGGGCCGGGCGGGGTAGGGGGGGTGCCTGGGAAGCCAGGCTGCGCTGACGTCACTGGGCGCGCAATTCAGGCTGGAGCGCTTTAAAAAACGAGCGTGCAAGCAGAGATGCTGCTCCACACCGCTCAGGCCACGAGCAGCAGCGAGGCGCAACGCCACGGTCGCCGCTGCAGCCAGGGCTGCTCCGAAGGCTGGCGTGGCTGCAACCGGCACCTCAGACCTCGCTGCGCTTCTCGCTTCTCCTCGCAGTCTACGCCGGAGGGGCAGGAACGCGGTGCCCGGTGCTGCAGACGCCCGCTGAGTTGCAGAAGCCCACAGAGTAGCACCCTGCGCGCCACGGCCCACAGCAGCCCGGTGCTGCCCTCCGCCCGCTTCCGACTCGTGGCCCCCTGCTTCGGGCACCATGGACACCTCCCTGCTCAGTGTGCTCCTGTCCCTGCCTGTTCTGCTGCAGCTGGCGGCCGGGGGCGGCTCACCCAGGTCTGGCGCGCTGCTGCGGGGCTGCCCCACACACTGTCATTGCGAGCCCGACGGCAGGATGCTGCTCAGGGTGGACTGCTCCGACCTGGGGCTCTCAGAGCTGCCCTCCAACCTCAGCGTCTTCACCTCCTACCTGTAAGTGCTTCCCCACTTCACTCCGGGAGAGAGGCTAAGGGGAGGGAAGGCTAGTCCAAGGCGAGGCTGGAAGCTCCTTGGCGCCAGCCTGCTCTGAAGGGGGCAGACGAGTTTGTCAAAGGCATCCTGTCCTGGCCTGTTTGGGCCCCCAGAGAAATGCACGTGTCTCGGGGAGTAGTGTGCTGGAACTTTTGGGACCCTCAAAGAAATGGCTTCGAGTGCAACCCGAGAAAGTGCTGCTGCCCCGCAGCTTCCCAGTCCAGCGCTAGGCACATCGCAGGGCCAATTCCTGCAAATGACAAATACAGGCATTTGCATACGGAGAGGGCATTTCTGCACTGAGCCTGGAACCCAAAGGCAGGCAGCCATCTGGTCCCCCGCCCCAACAGCTTCTCTGCGTCTAGTCGCATTCCACGAAAAGATGGTCTGTAGACCGTTTCCCCAAAGGAGAAACAACTTGCCTGGCTCCAAAGGGTTTTATTCTGCATCCCTTGCACGGTGACTTGATGTAACCTTTTTCTTTTCTTTCCTCTTTTCCTCCCTTCCTTCCTCCCTTTCTTCCTTCCCTCCCTCCTTTCTTATTTTCTTTCTTTTTTAACGGCGTGATTAAAATGTGGCAGCCACAAACTCCGATTAGAGCTGCCAGAACGTTATCTTTACCTTTGGCTGCCCGCGCCGCCCTTTGAAGTGCCCGCGGCCACTGTGTAATCTTTAACCATCTCCTCCCCCGGGGGAGGAAAGGGGAAGTGGGCTGAAGGCTGTTGGGCTTGTAAACAGCGGCACGGACACCCAAAGGGAGACCTGAAGCTCTCTATCATCCCTGGGGGATCCTCCCAACCCTTCTCTCCCCCATCACCGCTTCCAAAGCCCTGAGGCAGTGGCTCATTGCATAATTTTGCCTCTGGAAAACCAAGGCCTGAGGGTAACAGGTGGCTGGGTGAACGCGGTGACCCAGGAGGAACCCTAGTCTCAGAGACGAGGGGTCTACTCCCTCCACCCCCGAGCAAAGCATCTGGGGCTTCATTCCTTCTGGCAGAGACCAGGTTCTAGGCCACTCCGGGAAACAGGTGCTCCTGACTACAAGGTGAAACACTGAGGTTTGAATTCAAGACATTGCAGCGAGCCCACCCCAAGCCCATGAAAGACCAGTTTTCGGCTTCTCTGATGTACCTTGGCAGGAGAGAGCTGATATGTTTGTGAACCCGTTCTTCCATCTGTTGAGTTGTTTTCTGGAGGGAAGAAACATGAAGAGGCTTGCACAACATTTTCCACTAGGTAGTGATTCTTTTTCTGGAGACAGAGTGAGGAAGAAAAAAAAAAACCTTTACTTGCTTTAATATTGTCTTTAAAGAAAAGTACCATCCTGCTAGATTTTACAATTGGTAGATGGAAGGTCACCTCATTTACCATAAAGCTGTTTTAACTGCTTTTTCTTTTTTACCTGAAAGAATGGTAAAATTATTTTTCCCACCAGGCTTCCCCTCAATTGCACTCAATGCATGTGGTACTGATATTGTTCCAGGAATGGAAATCTGCTCTCCTAAATGATCATGCTCTCAAAATTCACATTTCCTCCTCCTGGACAGCTGTCTCTACTACAAAGCGGAATATTCATCCCCAAGCTCTCTAACTGCTAAAGTCAGTGTTGCAAGGATCCTGAGCTCTCCAAAGCAGTGAATTTCTGGGACCAGTTTGGCAATCGTGCTTAGGAGCCTATCACTCTGCGTCTTCCCCATTGCCCTGGAGAAGTTTGACTATATACAAGAGAGGTGTGCAGTGCCCCCAAACACTTAACCTATTATTTAAATTATACATTCATTATAAAATATGTTTAAGAATACAGAAAATAAGCTTATGAATAGTTCCAGATTGCTTTCTTCTCTCCCTTGAAAGAACAAACATTTGTTAGGCTTCCGTTACTAAAAGTTGGCATAAAATTCTGCTTTAAACCATTTCCCACATACCTCAAATGCATTTAACTGTGCCCTCCATGTGCTCAGGAGAACCTACTGCCACCTATTGCCAATGTTCCCTATCTATCTATAGATAGAACAATCTATCTATCTATATTATAGATAATCCCTTGAAGTTATAATACTATTAGGAAATTTAGTGTCATATTATTCTCATGTTATTTGATGACAGCCTGTACCCTGGCCTAAGAAGAAATTTTCCCAGTGCCCTATGAATTATTAAATTCAGAGTGTCTATATAAAGTGATATGTAAATGTTAAATACTTCTAATGCAACATAGTTCAGGGAATATGATTGTTAAATATAGAAGTCAGTCCTGAAGTATATAATCAACCTGGTGTTCTTTATAATGTGTGATTTCATAATTTGGTGTCCTTATATGCTAAAAAATGCCAAAGGCGATGGGACGCCCTTTGAGCAGGTGTTGAGAGTTTAGGGTTATTTTGGATTTTTACAACCACAGGAACGCTATGCAGACATGAAGGGTAGATGATGCCCTCTTTTGGTTACACCTAGTATTCTCTGACCATTTCTGTCTTCACTTGTGCAGTCAAAACATAAAAGAGGAATCTTGACTTACTCATATTCAAATAAATGAATATGTGTTCTACTTATTTTCTTATTTTAAGGAATAACTTCCCTTTGCTGTTGAAAGGGAACACAAAGTTATAGCTCCACTCCACTGGGGCCCAGTAATAATTGAGCCTTGAAGAGAAAGTTGCAGTGTACAAAGACTGATGTGGTGAAAAGCCAGAACTACTATCATTTATTTGTAAGAAGTTATCATCATTTATATAGTCAAAATGTCATCTCCTAATCCCCCTCAAAAAAAGAACGAGCATTTCCTTTTCTTCAAACAGACTGATGATGGCAAGTTCCAGCTGTACACATTTGGCAAGTAGCTGTACACATTTGCCACAATCTGAGAGCTGGCTAGTCAGACTTGTAGGTAAAGAAAGTTTCCTACATCTCTTCATAGAATGCAAGCACTACTTACGTGCCATTTTATAATCGTTTTACCCAGAAAAGCAAAATGTTAAGCCCTTCCAAATATTAATATTAACTCTCTTTTCATACTGAGCTGCCTTCCCCAGTAGGTCTTTAACTGGACCAGAGAACATAGCGGAAACACTGGAAAAATCTCAATCTTCATCTCTTTTCTCCCCAACTCCCCCAGCAAGTGGTTATGAGCTCTGATTTTACTAACATGGGCTAATAAAGTTTACTTAGCAGAAAATAAGGAACACACCAAAGCTGAGATATAAAAGCAGACAATAATTATTTACAACATTTAGTACATCTCTATCTACCAGTTTTGATCTGTCCTAAATAACGTAGTTCTAGCATCTAATCTTAGTATAGACAAGTTACTTTAATGCATCAACTGTGGACATTTTTGCTAATAGGGTCTTAAAAGTAAACTCCCCTCTACTACTTTGATGTGTCTTTCATCTAGTTAGTGTGACATTCAGATAGAAAACTAAATGCTAATGAGCATCCTAATAGAGTAAATATACTTTTCTTTATTGGTCCAAAACAGCTATTTTTTTCCTTGCTGTTGCTTAAAGGCATTCACATTTCATCCACAAGCAAATTTGTGTTATACAAACAAAGGAACCAAGAGAAAAGAATTTTTTTTTAATTTTACGTAGTTTGGTTATTTTTCATATGTAACTTTGAAACAAAATTGAATTTTACACATAACTAGTAAAATTGATGTTAATAAGAATGGAACAAAAGTCTCAATTAGTTAATTAGGTACCGGCTTAATATCATAAATGTGTTTTAATATTTAAGATGCAGTTTCAAAATGAAAGATCCTTTTTAGAATCTTCTTTCAAAATGATTTAATATAGTTCTGCTTCTCTTCAAGCAAAGAAAGTTATCTTAAAGGAAAATTTACTTTAGAAGTGATTACAAAAATAGTGACTGTTAGAACAGTCTTAACATTTAGATCAGTTACAAACATTATACAGTTTGCTCTACAACGTACTTTTAGAATTGTTTAAAATACAATGATGCCAGTCAATTTTCTTCATTTTAATAAAGTTCTTTCTTTTTTTCGAGGATTGCTGGGGATTTTTTCCATAGCATTTTTGTTATGGGGTGAATTATTAAAACTAATTGATCATTAGCCTAAGTAACTTTTAAAAGTCATGAGATCATTCAAACAATTTCGTGGTATACATTTAGAATAAATATTCTACTGAATATATTTAACATATGCATGGCAGAGTTTGCATGACAAGAATGAATTTTTATACAGAATAAACATGATCTTTAGTTTTTTTCTTTTTTCCTTGTGCATTTTCCTCAAAGTAAAGGAGTTCTGATGTAGCAACAAAAGGTAGCAATCATAAATGAGTTAGAAGATCAGAATCAAGAAATAGCCTGTGGAGTTAAATAACACCATGTTTTGATAATGGACCAGTCACACTTGGAAGTGTTTAAAGAAGTTCAGAAACACAAAACTGTCTATGATTTCTTAAAGTTAAGTATTTTATCTGAATGATTTTATCGTTTTCAGTTTTCAAAATATACCTGCCAAAGGCATAGAAGTATCAGACCAAACAATTAACCCAGTAAAGGTATCATAAAATTAAAGACATTATAGAATATTTATAATTTTATAACTGAAACTTAATTTTGACTTAGCAAAGTTTTTTTATATTCCTTCTATCAAATTCATGCATTTGTCATTTTAGCTACAAATGAAAAACAGCAATGTGTTGTCCAATGAGCAATTTTGTGAAGTAATGTTTTTGTTTGGTTCAGTTATTTATGCAAATTTAGAATAAAGCTAAATGGCACATTTTCTTGTAAACACTTCCCCAGTAGATATTTCTGGTAAATGGAAGTCTTCATGAGAAGGTAAATTCCTTCCTATAAGATTCAACTTCCTCACTTCGGTTGCAATATTTTCCTTTATAGAGTCTCGTTTTGTAGTAGAGAGATAAATCAGACCAGCACTAAAGCCACAACTGACTGGTATATTACATATCAAACAAAATGACTTGAGTATCAAGTCCTGTTGCTATTTTTGATGTATCTTAGCAGAATTTCACTTGTTAAATCTCATGGAAATCAGTGCCCATGAGTTCCAGCCCACTACAACTCTTATTCCCAGATCTGTCAGCTTTTATCCACACTTTTATGTAGCCATCGTGGATACTAACTACATGCCCAATTTCACCTCTGGAACTCTATCTATGGCAAAAGGAGACATTTCACAGTCTATAATGTGGAATTTTAAATTAAATCCTCATTAATTCAAAATTTATTTTGTCCTCCATATGTTACATGGTAGGAAGCAGGTCCATTCTTAAAATCTGTGGCATTTTTTTCTGTTAAATTGCTTAAGCCCAATGGGAATGCCTGGCTTAAAACTAGAAGGGAGAAAAACATTAGTTATTTGATTTTAAGAAATGGAATAATGTATCTAGTAGTAATGCTAAAAGGGCTTTAACAGGGTGTTACCATTAATGGAATACTATTAAAAGATGTTTCATAAGCAGAAGTACTTCCATATATCCTCATGTATTACTTCTCTTTTTAATGTTTAAGTCTGGAATTGGAGAGGCTGAAATTTATTTGGAAAGTATGCAAATGACCATATAAACAACTTCTTGAAAGTCAGATGAAATAACACCCCATGATTTAATGATGGGTTCTTTCCTTCAGGGCTAATTCTTCTTATTTGGCTGTGAGTTCCTCCACGGTAGGACATTTTCCACTTTATATCCCCAGGGCCCATACCAATGCCTGACTCTTAGGGGAGTTTCATAAATACTGAATATTTTTCAGTAATGTTGAATTGAGTGGAATTGACTGAACCAGCTGCTGAAATCCCAGTGGCTAGTATGGGTCAGAGAAAGACAGGTGAGAACTACTAGTCCTCAAGTACAAACAACACAAGGCCGATGGTATTCCACAATTATTGTCCAGCCCCATTTGAAATATGACTGAATAGTGTTCAGTTTAAATGATGCAAAGAGTTGTTTATTTTAACACATGCCATGATTTACATATGTAAATTACTTTATTATTTTAATAGCAATATTCATAATAACTGATAGTTGGATTGTGTTTCCCAAGTGTCCGGCACTAAATACTTTACTCAGTCAAAGATCCCACAAAGGTACTAAATACTTTACTCAGTCAATGTCCCACTTGTGGTGGGGCAACTTGTGACAAGTTAGGAATGATAATAGCACCTCTTATTAGGTAAGCTTACCGTAAGCTTATTTCAAGTATTTCCAATGCTCAAAATATTTTTGGACTTCCTTTGAAGTTATCTTCCCAGTTTACAGCAACCC